TAAATTAGTTCATATATTTGTTTCGCGTGCTTGTGGAAGAATTCAGTCTTTTCAACCTGAAGATACAACCTAAATAACCGCGGTAATATCCTGAAATATTGAATGTAATTGCTAATGAAATGCATGGCTGTTCTAAAATTGAAAGAAGTGATTGCAGTAAGCCCTATGCACCCCTGCCATATATTTTCTTTGTATTTTCAAAATTTATGTTGTTGTTTTTCCCTTGAAATTTGGGTTGTGATGTGGATTATGTGTTAAAATCTGTAATCATGGTTTGTTGAAATGGGTTTTAAAACGATTTAGGGGAGAGTCAATTTTTTTTTTTTTTTCGTTTGTGTCGTTATAGTGGTGGTGAGCGGCTTTGAATGGGTTTTTTTGTTATTTCGTTTGTGAATTTTGTGTAGTTTTGGTTTGATTAATTGGTTTTGAAAGAGTTTCCCTCTTTGAAATTTAGAGACGGTGTTGCATGGGTTGTGAAGGGGAGGAGTTGAAGGATTCTGGCCATGGGAGGAGGGGAGTTACTTGCATGGTGAGGAAGAAAGATGGGGCTCGAGGGAAGGTGAGGGTTTTAAGGTCATTCATCTATTCACTGTGAAAACTAACGAAAAGTGACTAACAGCAAGGGGTCATGAGTAATACTGATACCTAGACTTGATAAAACAGGTCCAAGTTGGAAATAATGGGCCGGGTTAGGGGGCAACCCTAACCCGGCCCGTTAAAGAGGGCTCAAACCGGCCCGCCTGAATGGCGGGCCGGGTTGAGCCCAACCCGCCAGCAACCCTCGGGTGGGCCGGGTTACACAATGGTAACCCGGCGGCCCGCCGGGTTGCTAATTTGTCCTCTTTGCAAGAGGCCCGCAACCCGGCGGGTTGCTGGCGGGTTGGTGTTGGCCCGAAAAAAAAAAAAAATTGTAATATTTTTTATTTTTTCAATTACACTTTTACCCTTGAAATCAGCCGTTTATAGCCGTTGGAGGGGTCTTTTTCGTCATTTTCTTTCCCTATTTTTTTCTATAAATTGGACCTAAACTCTCATATTTTTCTCACAACTCAAATTCTCTCATTTTCTCATATTCTCATTCTAATCTCTATTCTCTCAACTCTCAAGTTTCAATTATTCATTTATTTCTTAATATTTTTGTTATCAATTTGCTCTTATTTTATTTTATTAGGTTTTGCAATTTTCAATTCATATTTCCAATTTCCATATTCCAAATCTCTTTCTTTAATTTTTATTTCTTTTACATCATTTTTTTTTTCAACTACAAGTTACAAGGTAGATATTTCTCTCCATCAATTTCAATGAGGAAGAAAACTATATCCTAGTCCTAGTCCCGCTGATTTTACTATGAATGCAGGAGATTCAAATAGTCCCGCTGTCCCAATCCAGTCTCAGAATCCGATACACCTCAAAATATGCCGTCAATTCCAATAGCGCCCGGTGGTTCTAGAAGTCGTCCTCGTAATCGTCGTCCTCTCCAATTCATCTCAAGCTGAGGCGGGATCATAACTGCCGTCGAAGCGAAAACAGACACACATCAGACGTTGGGCGCATTTCGACAAGTTTTACGAGACAGAAAATGGCGTTCAAGTCAAGAAAGCAAGATGCAAATATTGTGCAAATGTTTAAAGCTGATTCAGGTAATGGTACTAGTACTTTAAAAAGGCATGCTAATAAACATATTAATCAACATGGAAATAGAGAAAGCAATCAAACTCAAAAACTAATATGGGTACTACTTGGCGTTATAATTCTGATGTATATAGGGAACAGTTAGCTTATATATGCTGCATCTGATCAACCTATTAATATGAGAAGATAAATATTTTGAAAGATTTGTTCAAAATTCATTTTTTCCAGGATTAAAAGTTATTCTAAAACTGCAACTAGAAATGATTTAATAAAAGTTTAAAAAAATGAAATTAGAATTAAAAAATAAATTTCATACTTGTCATATTAGTGTGGCTTTAACTGCTGATATTTGGAGTGGTAGAGCTAAACAAGATTATATGTGTGACTAGTCATTATTTTGATAATAATTTAATTAAATAAATCTTTATTGGATTTAGATTAATGGATGTGGATCATGTGGTTTAGAAATCTATAATAAAATTATGAAGTTTTAGAAGATTATGATATTATTGATAAAGTGATAAGTTTAACTTTAGATAATGCAAGTTCTAATAGTAAAGCTATAAAATTTTTTCAAATAATTATTTTTTATATAATAATTTGAAGTTTTTTCACCAACGTTGTGCATGTCATGTTTTAATTTAATTGTGAAAAGTGGTATGAAAACAATTAAAAAAAATATTGATAGAATTAGGGAATCTTTAGCTTGGATTACTAGTCGTAATAAAAGAAATGGGAATTTCAAGAAGCTTGTATAAATCAAATATGTCTCCTAGAACTTTTGCATTAGATATGCCTGTTAGATGGAATAATATTATTTAATGCTTGATCATGTTTACCTTATGCTAATATAATTAGTTATTTTGTAGCAAATAATAGAGGTCCTCATCTTGGTAGAAAATGATTGGAAGAAGTAAAGTATTTCATTCTTTTCTCAAATGTTTTTACCAAGCCACTTTACAACTTTCTGGTGTGTATTACCCTACTAGTCCATTGGTAATACATGCAATTATAAAATTTCGAGTTATTTACAAAAAACAAAGATGATGAAATTTTACATGCACCAATAAAGGCAATGGAAATTTTTTTTTTGAAATATTGGAGACCCGTTCATTTTCTTTATTGTTTAGGTGCTATATTTGATCCTAGAATTAAATTAGCACGTTTAGAAAATGGTCTTGACAATTTAAGTGAAAATTTACAAAACGAATCATATATCAATCAAATAGGAGAGGTAAAAAATAGTCTTTTCGAAGTAATTTCCAATATGAAAAAAAGTATAGGAACCCGCAGTCGCAAAGAGGCGAAATATCCAGAGAAGCTGTAGCAGAAGAAACAAATGAAGACTTATTCTCTTGGAATGCACTGAATAGGCCGAAGAGGACCCGAGTCTGAAGCACAGCCTCCTCTTCAGACACACCACCACCACCAACAACAAACTAATATGCTGTCCTCCATGGAGTCGCAGAGTAAGAACTTCAACAATATTTGGCAACCCCCGAAATGTTTTCAACAAGTCACTTTGATCTCTTAGAGTATTGGAGAGCCAGAAAAGTATTTTTCCGGTTATCAAGACTTGCCTTGGATGTTTTCGCTGTTCCTATCTCAACCGTCTCATCCGAACAAAAACTTTAGTGCAAGTGGAAGGATTTTAAATGAAAGGAGGACTAAACTTGCTCCAAAAATGATTGAAGTCCTCACATGTCTTCGAGATTGGGAACGATCGCGCCATCAAGATCAATACGAGGTTATCGACAATGCTTTAGTAGAATCATTTCAATTTTGTAATATAGATGATACAGATGAGGGAGGTCCTAGTGAGCCACCCCCAATTTAGTTGTTTTGTAAAATGTAATTTGTAAATTAATTGTCAATTATTGACTCTTTTTTCTTTACCAAGTTTTTCTCCCATTGGGTTTTTCTTGGTGAGGTTTTTAACGAGGCAATAATTGTTGTAATTTCTTATTTTATTTTTTGATAAATGAATAAGTCTAATTTTTCTTATATTACAATTTTATTGTATTAAAATTGAATTAATATTTGAAATGTTAACAAAAAAAAAAAATTGAATTGAATTGAATTATTGATATTTGAAAAGTTAACTAAAAACAATTATATTATAATTATTTATTTGAAAAGATAAATTAAAAAAACAAAAACAAAAAAAAAAACACAAAAAAAAAATCGGGCTAACCCGGTCCGGACCGGGCCTAACCCGGCGGGTTAGGGCTGGCGGGCCGGGCTGGGCCAGCCACTTTCCCTATTGGCGGGCCTAACCCGGCCCGTCTTGTTGGCGGGCGGGTTGAGCCTAGCCCGCAAAACATGAACCGCCGCGGGCTGGGCCGAACAGATTACTTTTCCACCTCCAACTAATATTTTGTACCCGTATATAGACCCGTATTGAATTTATATCCGTTTGAACCTGACGCATACCCGATTCACCCGCCCCTTTTGCCAGGTCTACTGATACTATGGGATTTAAAATTTAATTTAATATCCCTTTCAGGCGATAGTTTCGAAAAAGTTTTCGTCCCGGCTCCTGCAGACAGCAGTGCAATTAAGTTAAAGCAGGGAGGTCTTTGTTATTAAAAAATAAAATAAAAATTCAAATGTTATTCGAAGCTTCTTGGAAGCATTACCCTTGGAAAGGACACATGTCCTTGGGAAAATGGCCAGAAAAATCTTGCCTTTCCACATTTCTGTATCGTCAGTCCGGCGCAGTGGCGCTTAAGCAGTGAGGAGAAAGTTGTGAACCCCAAACCGTAAAAATCATGGTTTGAAGCTTGGACATAGCGGTCTTGGAGAGATTTCTGTATGGCCAACAGAATCAAGCACGTGTTTAGTTTTTCTTTTCGTTCTTTTTATTGTGGTTTGTGCCCGACTGTAAAATGGGTTCTTGTGTTTTATTATTTTTTTGGATAGGCAGTGTTTTTCTGTGTGTCCGCGTGGGCTCATTAAAAAACATAAAATAATGTTAGAAAATTCCTTCTCATCTTCCATTTTGTTTCGGTTAAGGTAACAAACACGACAACAGAGAAAGAGTTTCAAGTCCCAATTACGACAAGAAGGAAACCATAAATCAGGTAATATAGGTCCCTTCAACACGGAAATTTTAATGTTCTTTTGGGTTTATATTGTGTGGAATGTTTGTGTAGGTGATGCACATTTGTTTTAGGATACGTTTAGTTCAGTGGATGAGATTACTAGGAACGTTATATTAATGAAAATTAGATTATCTTGAAGGTTATTGAGAATCTTTAAGAAAATACGTGATTAGTTAGAATAAATCGGTGAATGACCGAAATGGCCAGAATAGATTTTACCATTTCCGACCAGGTCTACTGATATGATCGTTTTTTGCCACCAATATGGCCATTCCGGCCATATTGGAGCCTCTTGGGACAATCCAACCACTTCTGAGCGGCTGGCAGTGGTTTGTTGACAACAGGCAGCAAACTGTGGGTGGGAGTGATGGCTTAGGTGAGTTGCAATTAGATTTGTATAAAAAATGAGACTATCTTGATAATCTCAGACATTTAAGAAAATTGAGGTTATTAAATTACCTCCAATATTATAACAATAACTATTATTGTATCGAAAGATTACCGAATTCTTATATTATTTGACAACCTAACGTGATAATTAAATAATACAAAATGACATAACCTCCGTAATACCATAACCCCAATCAACTTGGGTTATCTTTCGTGAAAAACAGTTTTAAGTTTTTTGAAGGCACATAAAGACTGACTAACAATGGCACCAAGAAGACGACCAAGAAAGGTAATGTCAATGGTAATCAACTCACATTTCCCTCACTTTCCCACGTTCTTTTTCCCAACAGGTCTTTTGTTTTTTCTTTTTCTTTTCATTTCATTTTTCTTTGGTTGGTTCTCCAGAAAAACACTCGAATGGTTGCGGCGTCAATGCTATGCGAACCTATGGTTATGAGGATGACTTAGTTCTCAAAAAGTGAATGAACTTTGGATGTGAGTATATATTAATTAATTATGTTCACAATGCTTTTGAAAATGGGTTTTTGTTTTGACTTCAAAAATTGTGGAGTGGGTTTTGGTCTAGCTTTACGTTGGAAATTGGTCCTTTATTGAAGAAAGTTCTTACCAAGTCCTGCTTGAAAGCATTCTTGATCAAGAGGAGCAGCAGCAGCAGCAGGTAATTTTTTTTTTCTCAATTCTGTCTTTATTTTCTGTTATGCTGTTGATGTGGGAGAGGTGGGAAAGTTTTGACTTCACTTTAATTTTAGGTGTTATGTAATCATTCATTTTGTTCAGCAAATCTCTTTCATTTTTTTTTTATTGGGATTTGGGATACCAAATAAAATAAGAAATGAAATCCAGAGTTTTTGCTTTCTAACATTAAATTTCTTGAGTGCAAAATGGAGGCTGAAGTTTTGATTTATGATAATGATAAAACTGGCTGCTATTTTATTTACATAGTTATCTTTTAAGTCCCTATCTGCTGACACTTTTTCAGCCCCAAGTTTTTTCTAATCCATATTTAGTTTTCCAGTCTTTGTATTTGTTTGACCGAGGTTTAACTTTATGATCTCCTAGTTTAGTTTGAAATAGTGATACATCTTGTTTAGATTGTCATCTCTGTCATACTATAGCTATTGGTGGAGGTGATTGTTGGCTTGATTAGAAGGTCGGCAGAGAAGAAGGGAGGGAAAAAAATAGGGAGAAGTAAAGAGAAAAGAAATGGGAGAGTTTAAGAGAGAGGGGGAGGTAAACAGATTGAATTGGGAAGAAAATCAACTTTCATTATTCAACCGTTTATTGAAAGTAAGTCTTACTAAAAGCAAAAAATATGATGCTATTTGTAATGGGGCAGTCCTCTTTGTAGGAAAACTAAATCTAAATAGATAAGTAATAACTTAAAATTAAAATACCCAAGTTCCCAAAAAATTTCCAGAAGTGATGGTAGTTTAAGTTTACCTCTTCTCTTTGCCAGTAAGATTTTTTTTTTTTTTTTGGTAAGAATATTGTATTATTAAGGCTAGTTAAGTGTATTGACAACATTGTTTACCTTTTTTTACCCTTCAAAAAAGAAAAAAGAACTTGCGAAGGAGGAAGCCATTTATGGATCTTCAAGTGGCTCTTCGGCTCTTGTCTGTGCTGGGGCTTTAAATGTTGCATTGCCAACCAATGAAGTTGAGGATCCAGCATCACAGATGGATGGCATTTCTGAGACTTCATTAGTGATTCACAAATCTGGTACGTGGCTTTCCATTTTTTCTCGTGTCTTAAGAGTGTAGAAGAAAGAATCCTTCTCTGCAGTTCAGTCACTTAGATCATGCCCCATTTTATGTACTATAGACTTCTGAATTCCTTTCTTCATTTAAAGTAAAATTGCATCAAAACCATACCTCTGAATTTCATAGTTATGCTCTTGATTACTAGATGACAACGTTGACACCCTTGTCCCACCATCTGTCGAAGGAGGTAGCTCTCAAGACATCAACTTGGACAAGAGCTCTGAAAAAAGACTCACAGCTTCTCCAAACGCCAATGAGTCCAAACAACCAGCAGACGGCTTTCCAATTAGGAGGCGCAGACCTTACCATGGATTTATCAGCAATGGCCAGGACGAGCCAGAGCTTGTGGATTTTGGGACTCCATCACATTCTGAGGAGTTACAAAAGGTCCTTTTTGGGAGGGTTGTGTGGAAAATACACAAGACTAGGTGGGACTTGAGGCCTGAGGATATGTAGCATTTTGGTCTCACTTTAAAGTGTAAATACATGGTATTAACCATTTCCCCTATTTATGGGAGACAATTTTTTTGGAATGACTTGAAGCAAAACAATATAAATTAAAATAGTTGGGAAGATATTGTTAAAAAATTATTGCTTTATGGGAATTACCATGAAATTAGTACACTATCTAAGACTATATTTGATATTAAAATTCAAAAGAACAGTCTCCTTTCTGAGCTTTTGGAGTTGGCTCAAATTTCTTGAATTCCTTGTATTGATTTTAAGTTTCCACCAAATGTTTGATAATATTAAAATAACCCTTCAAACAAGAAAAAGTATCAGCCAAGTCCACGATTTTATGATATGACACGTGTTAATTTCTGATTGGGAATTCCAGGTTCGCCTTTTGATATTATAAATATCCAAAAATAAAAAAGAATAAAAATCATTGGGCGGGTATTTAACCAGGAAAATAAAAACAGATAATTTCCAATGTTGTTTTAGTGTCAAGATAAGATTTCAAAAAAATCTCCAAATTTACACCCAAAAACCTTAAAATCTCCAGCTTTCATGACACCAATGTTGCTTCAATCCAACTAAAGCTTCTGTTTTTTCGATTACAAACATGAATATCACGATAAGTTTTCGCGGGAACTTGAGTTTGTTGCCACAGTGTAGTTCTTGCTGCCATGTTCGTTTCCAGCCATTTTTAGCTTCTTTTCATGTTCCTCGCTCAAAACGCTGTCGTTTTGCAAGTTTTAGTTCATACCAGGTTTCAAGGTAAATTTTAGTTTTTTTTTGTTTCTTAATTTATTTATTTTTTGGTGTCTCAAGTAATGAATTATTGTGTTTAATGTGTATTTTGCAGGAAGAAGAGAGAGATTGTTTGTAGAGTAACTGACACAGATACTGAACCAGATAGCAATAATGATAAGGTGATTTTGTCTTTGAATGTTCAAAATTCTTTGTTAAGATTCAATGCAGATAAAATGCATTTGTATGGTTTTTTTTTAAGCACGTATTTTGAATTCGGGATTGGGGCTTGGTTTTGGCCCTATAAAGCATATTCCTTTATCAAAATGTTTGTGTTTCATTAATTGATATTGAAGTTTATATGAATATATACAGGAAAAACAAATAAATGAAGATGGGGAAAACCCACCTGCTACTGATACCCATCAGAAAAATGACAAACCTGAGCTTGATTCGCAGCTTGATGCTGTGAATAGGGTAATCAACAATGATACAGAAACAAATGGTCTCGGTGGTGGTGTGCAGGTATTTATTTCTGATTTTTATTGAATTATTGCTAACCTAAATGTTAGTCAATAGATATGTTTTTTGCTGCATGCTGATTGGTTTAGTTACTGGTTAGTCGGTGCTATCTGATGAATTCAACTTTCCATGCTTTGCCTCAGTAGTTGAAATTGTGGGGATGTGATTTGCTTCATATTTATTTTCTTTTGTTGTCGTAGACTTCTTGATTTGCAAGGTAGAAATCTTGTTCAATGTAATGGCTTCGGGAAATTTCATTATAGAATAAGATATTGACTTTTTCCTGTAGCATTTAAGTCTATCAGCTTGTTCATGTTCTTTGAATCTCACATTAGATCATTACTTTCTGACCGATTGTCTGAGAGACATCAAGTTTTCACACAAACATTGTCGTGGCTAGGATATGATCCCAAGACCTTTTGTACAACTTGAAGAGATCTTACTAGTGCGCTAGCTTGAACTCGGAAATAAACACTAGTTCCTTACAGAAGAGGTTGTCTGTTCAAAGTTTTTGCACTTGTTTAGTTTTCATTACTTTCCGATGATGAAGAAAAAAATTGATTTATTTTGTTGAGTAGGGCATGATTTTTAGTTCCTTTGATCCCTGTTGTATTATATTTGTTTGATGCAGGATGTCAATGATGTTGAAGTTGCTAGTGGATCCCCTTTGCCAGGTGTAAAGGTGATTATTCTTACCGCTTTGAAGTGTCATGCATTAGAACACAAATATTATCTCCATGTCTTCTTATTTCACCTCTCTTCATTTATTTCCTGAACAGCCACAGCAACTGGATGAAGCAATGAGGCTTCCCAAGGAAACAATAGACATTCTTAAAGATCAAGTATTTGGTTTTGATACATTTTTCGTGACAAGTCAGGAGCCATACGAGGTGAGTAGATTATTTGGATAGCTTTTAATGTCTTATTTGCAAATTTCCTGTGTAAAAAAATTTAAGTGAAGACGGTACAACTTATGGAATTTGGAACCTGGGTTAGAAACCTGATGTTTATAACAATTTTACGTTGAAAATTAGTAATTCGCTGTTCATTTATAATATGGTTCTAAAGAAACTAAAGTATTCTTGTGAATTATATAAAGGACAATCTGTGGCAGTTTATGTTTCTATTTTCAAGTTGACTGCTGATTTTTTATGGGGTTGTTTAGGAGTTATTTGAACCTGATGATTTACTTCTGCTAGGCTGGAGTTTTGTTTAAAGGAAATCTACGTGGAGAGGCTGCGAAAAGCTATGAAAAGATATCAATGAGATTGCAGGTGTAGAGATCAGCATGTATCCATTCTAATGTTGTCAAGATATTATACTTATCTTTACTAAAATTAATTATGGGTCAATGTATACACAGAATAAATTTGGAGATCTGTATAAGCTTTTTCTTCTGGTCAATCCAGAGGATGATAAACCAGTAGCAGTTGTAGTTCCAAAGATGACGTTACAACCAGAGACAACTGGTGATTTTTAGCTCTTGCAAAAATAATTACTTATGCTAACTATTTTCAGAAATTTCTTAGCATGACAGTATGGTCAGAAATGCCTGTTATCGAAACTTAAAAGGAGCTTGTAAACCATTATGTTTTATGTTATTTATTTTTTTACAGCTGTTCCTGAGTGGTTTGCTGCTGGTGCGTTTGGGTTAGTCACGGTGTTTACATTACTTCTTCGGAATGTTCCTGCATTGCAGTCCAACTTATTGTAAGAATTTTTCTGTCTTTTAATTGTCAAATCTTCAGCAAATACAAACTCTGGCATATGATTGACCCTATAATAATATGCAACAAAATTATCTCCTTCGTTGATGATTTTTGCACAGTTTATGTCTGTCTGATCTGTGGCTATGTAAACATTTGCTTTGAATGGTTAATATTTTTCTTAAGGTGAAATCAATTGCATTTTTATTTGCTTGACTGCAACCATAATGATTGTTGTGCTCCAGATCGACTTTCGATAATCTCGACTTGTTAAAGGATGGCCTTCCTGGAGCTCTTGTTACTGCACTTGTTATAGGGGTGCATGAACTTGGCCACATTATAGTTGCAAAAAGTTCTGGAGTTAAGCTTGGGGTGCCGTTCTTTGTTCCCAGTTGGCAGGTGATATATTGATTGTTGTTCTGTACTCTAAACTTTATGTTGGAAGGATTTCTCCTCCCTTTCCCCCTCCTCTCCCTCTTCTTGATGACGTTGAGATTTAGCATGGGAAAGTCTTTTTCTGCCATCTATTAATTAAATTTTGATTGTGAAAATCACAATTTTTTTTTTTAATCTTTTATAAGTGTGATGCACATCAGTAGCAGCCAATCTTAGTGTTAGCATGCAGTTTAAAGGCAACTTTGATGGAGCAAATATGTGCTGATCTTGCAATATCTGCTTGTTTTGAAAGGAAATTACATCAATAGTGATGCCCTAGTGGCAATCAACTTAGTTTGTACCCATTTTGGTCCAAATTCTTACCTTCTGAAAATTCTTTTACTGATCCATTTTCTGATTTTATTGGTACACATAAAATCTAAATGAATTCTTTTGATGCAGATAGGCTCTTTTGGTGCCATAACTAGGATAACAAATATTGTACCAAAGCGCGAAGATCTTTTGAAGGTGGCAGCAGCGGGACCTTTAGCTGGGTTTTCCTTGGGTTTTGTTCTTTTCCTTTTGGGATTCATCCTACCTCCCAGCGATGGAATTGGCATCGTCGTTGATGCTTCAGTGTTTCATGAGTCATTTCTTCTTGGGGGCTTAGGTAAGCATTTTACTTTTTACAGACATTGGATGCAAAGATGGATCATCCTGTGTGCATATGTTCAATTATTTATTAATCGGCCCATGCTTAAAAACTACTGTCACATCTGTCTTTTGGTAACGTGTTTCTCTCCCTAATGCTAATCCATTATTCTGTTTTCAGTAATTAGTTTATTATCTGACTTACCAAAGCTTTGGCTTCAAATAGTTAAAGAACGATGATACTGATTTTGGATTTTTCCTTTATAGCAAAGCTGCTACTCGGTGATGTACTCAAAGAGGGCACTCCCATATCTGTTAACCCACTACTGATTTGGGCTTGGGCTGGACTTCTTATAAATGCCATCAACAGTATTCCTGCCGGAGAGCTAGATGGAGGACGAATATCTTTTGCAATATGGGGAAGAAAGGTACCTCATCTAATATGTTAAACAATCTTTAAACTTTTGAGTGTGGTAAACTTGTAATGATCAAGCTAATTATTTATCAGGCTTCAGCTCGCTTCACGGGTTTCTGCATTGTGCTGCTAGGCCTATCCTCGCTTTTTAGCGATGTAGCATTTTACTGGGTGGCACTTATATTCTTCTTGCAGAGGGGACCAATCGCTCCACTCGCAGAGGAAATCACAGATCCTGAGGAGAAGTATGTTGGTCTTGGAATTTTAGTTTTGCTCTTAGGATTGCTGGTATGCTTACCCTATCCATTCCCTTTCACAGATGAAGTTATTTCAAGTTTCTAGTCATTCTTTTCATATATACTCTACTACCGTAACATACCCTTTTCGATAGAATTTTGAGAGTCAATGCTAGGAAGATTTGTCCAAACAAATTGTTCAAGTATACATCTTCCCTTGTAAAGTAGCAGAATTTAATTGAAAGCGACTTATCATGAATAATTTGTCGAATTTCAAGCCTTTCTTATGAGTTCAACAAATGCTAAAAAAGGCGGGAAATGTCCAAAAATCATCAATGAAAGGTAGGCGGAAATGTTGGATCAGGATAAATGATTCTTCCATTTTGTCAGCTGAAGTGATAACAAAGAGTAGTTGCATTTAAGTTTTGATTCGTAAAGCATTAAACATTAATGGAGTTGGCAGCTGAACAATAAGAAAGAGTAGTTGGGTTTATTGAGTTGGTTACTTGTCGAAATAGTAATACTTATTATATTCTCTCCAGTCTCTTTATGTTTGCCACACTGTGACTTAATTTCATTGCATATCCTCAATCAGAGATCGATAGATTCCAGTTTTGAACTCGGATTTACATGTTGATTGAGCGGTACTTGTAGAATGAGAACGCATACATGTGGTTACATGGCTTGTGAAAACATAACGAAGAAAAGAGAGTGAATTGTATAGACAGAGTTTTGAGTAGTGCTGAGGAAGAGTTGGATTGTTAATATAATGTTGAGGGTTTCAGAGGTGGGTCGGGGTGAGAAACAGGGGAGAGTTTCTAACCCTGAAAAGTTGGATCAGAGAGATAAATTAATCTTCCATTTTTTGTCAGCTGAAGTTGATACAAAAGATAAAAAAAGGTTTATTGACTGGCTACTAGTCCAAATAGTCAACATTATATTCCGCGTTGAGTTGTCTCTCTCAGTCTCTTTATGTCGCCATACGTGACTTAATTTCATTGATATCCACAGCGATTGAGCAGTACTTGTAGAATGAGAAAACATCACATGTGGTTCACATGGCTGTGAAAACATAACATAGAAATGAGTTTTGACTAGTACAGAGGAGAGAGTTGGATTTGTTATAAGTTAGTGGGATTTCAGAGGTGGGCTCGGGGTGAGAGACAGGGGAGATGTTTCTAACCATGAAAATGACTCTTCTCGTGAAGCTTATTAATTATTCTGTAAAGCTATTCTACTAATAAAGACATAAATGTTTTTCAGTCACCACTCACCACAGTAACGTGTCAAAGAGATGTCTTCACTACGACGATCACATTATAAATATCATTTACATATTATTTGTATATAATTATTATAATAATCAGTTGTTTTAAAATAAATATATATATTTGATAAAAGGTTAATATATAAATATAATCTTCCTTAGGCATAATTTAATAACAAAATTTTCCATATGATTATAGAATAATAAAAATCTTTGTGAAAGTAGGTTGATTAAGTAAATATTTATTATTATTTATTTATCCGGCATATTATAAATTCTAACGGCTTAATAATGATAAGATTATTTTGAAATATCAGCAGAATTTTATTATTTGAAAAAAAATAACTATATGTCTCTAATGTTCTAAGACGACTCAGGATAGGAGGAAAACACCTTCCTCGTTCATAACAAACCATCTTAATCACAAAACAAAAACACACGGAACGTCTAGGTTTCCCAAGCTCTTGAAAAACATGTTTGTTTTCTAGCCAATTGGATATTTATCACATGTTTTTTTTTTTTTTGGATAATTGGGATTCAAGTGAGAAAGTCTATTGAAATATCTTATAAAGTGCAAACTATATTATATACGGAACCTCAAACTGTAATATCCAAACCGTCCAGGTTTCCCGAGCTCTTGAAAAACATGTTTTGTTTTCTAACCATTGGATATTTATCACATGTTTTTTTTTTTTTTTTTGGGATAAGTGGGATATTGGAGAGAGGTTTTGTTTCGTCAACGTATTAATATGACATTTGCATCCTATAAAGATGAAATCATCAATCACGATAACAAAATCATGTGCATAATATAATTATCTCCATGTGATTTGATTTTAAACCAATAATTTAATTAATTTTACAAGTTTAATATTTTTACATTAATAGTATATATTCAATAAATTAATAGTATAATATAAGGAAACGATTTTTCCCATCTAAAAAGTTTCAAAATACTACTTTCTCACCAAAGTATATATTTTGTTTATAACAGAATACACTTTTCGTTCGATGGTCAAACAGAGAGAAAATCGATCCAGACTGTTGGAGCTTTTGAAAAAAGAAATTGGTGTCTTTTGGTGTGATAGTTAGATTTTAGAGGTTGAGATTGGTCAGAATCTAACTTAGAAGAGACAGTTACAATACAAATCGCTTGATTGTCAAGATAGCGGAAGTAAGATTTGAGGGGTTTTAATGAGTGATAATCGAGAAAGAGAATGATAATGTATGGATGTATGTAAAGATTCTAGAATCGGCCGATAATTGATCGGAATATAAAGTTTGGATAGAAAAATGAATTTAAAATTTTTTGATAAAAAAGTGTCATTGCGGTCAAACTTGGGTGGGAAAAGTAGTTATATGAGTTTAATATTTAGATAAGAAGGAATAGCATAGTACAAAAAATACGGATATAAACACAGCCATATCTTTTCTCGTGGGTTAATTATTAAAAATTTCAAGATCTGACCCCCACCGGGCACCGTCACTTCAAATTAAAATACATGTATGTACATTTAATTGCTGTGATTTCTGAAACAACAATTTTAATAATTAATATTTAGATCACGTTTTTCAGCAAGTAAAAGATTCTTATATTTGATTCTTATAGCTATGGCCTATGTGTTGTTTCATGTTCTAGTGGACGAATGATAATGAACGTACGCAAAAAAAATAATACAGTTATCGAAGAATACGTACTAAATTTTTACATCGAATGATGTGATGTATATTAACCATCGATTAAATTAATTCATAATATAATCGTAGTCATGATTTTGTCACGTTATTCGGTGTATGAATTGTGTGATCCTTAATAACTATAGTATTACTCTAAACTATATGTCATAGTCGCCAGTTATGAGAACAAAAAAACCATGCTTTCTGAAATTGATGTCAATTTGTCCAATTATTTCCAATCAATTCCAAGTAAAATTTGACTCTTATATATGTTACCGACAAACAATTTGACGAAAAACGTGTTATAACGTTGTCTTTTAAAATTGATATAAGTCTACGTATTATGCACTCTTTGTTATATTAACGTGTTATTATGGATTCTATGTCATTTATAAAGGTGAACATGAATATAAAATCACGTAAATATGTACTTTTATGTAAGATGATTTATGTTCATATGTATTTATTATTACGCTGTGTGACAAATAAAAATCGGATTGTATTTTTCTTTTAAATTCTAAAAATAAAATAATACTCTTAACAAATCTCTTTCCAATAATATAATATTTACATCCATTATAATATATTTAAAACCTAATTAAATATTTTCAGTTCAAAATGTCTTGATCATACTATACTATATGTGGGTTTCTAATTTTAATATATATTCTTTCTAAAAAACACAATTTACTTGAATACAAGTGGGTAGTTGTCAATTTATGTGTTTTGTCCATGTCCCTTTCAATCACTAAAGTCATTATCGTAATATTTAGCCCTCTAATCATATATAATCACTCTTCAAACTCCATAAATTTAAGATTAAGACAAATTAATATTAAATCATCCATTAATCCCATCTTTACCCATCTCTATTTATTATCCAAAATTTAAGTTAACAGCAACTAAAAAGGCCTAATTTAGTGGGGAAAAAAAAGAAACAATATTCTAATTTTAAAAAAGATAAAAATAAAAGAAAATAAAAACGACCCCGTTTTAGAAAGATTAATCTATTTTTCACATTCACAATCACAACAGCCTTAACTCCGTTCTGTCAGTTATTAAATATTGGTCAGAAAAATCACTCATAAAAATATATAAGAGGGTTAGAGATTAATCACCTAATTCTGAATTAAGAGAGATTTAATAACTCTCTCTTAATAGTGTTCTACAAATTCAATTAATTAAATCTCAGAAATCTAGAAGCCATTGTTCTTCAAGTAAAAAACTTCTTCATCTACGATGTCAGGTTTGTGGATTACTACCATATATATTATTTTATTTTATTTGCATTAAATGATATTTATTTATATTTATTCAATTTATTTGAATATTATACTTAAAAAAACTAAAATATAATTAAAAAATATATTTCATTAACATTCATTTATTAATATATTTCTTCTTATAGCTAGATATTAATAAATCTATCCCATTTAATTTAAGATTCTCCAAGAATGTCAAAACAAGCAGAAAATAGTAAAATACAAAACAACACAAAATAGGAAATTTGATAAATATATGGAGTAATATTTTGTGCTGACATGACAACACTGGAATTAAATGATATTTATTTATATTTATTCAATTTATTTGAATATTATACTTGAAAAACTAAAATATAATTAAAAAATATATTTCATTAACATTCATTTATTAATATATTTCTTCTTATAACTAGATATTAATAAATCTATCCCATTTTATTTAAGATTCTCCAAGAAAGTCAACACAAGCAGAAAATAGTAAAATACAAAACAACGCAAAATAGGAAAATGATATTTTGTGCTGACATGGCAACACTGGCTCTTTTTTGCTATTAAAACGTCCTCACGGGAAGCTGAAGAGACCATAACCGGAGAGACGGTTGCTGTTAGTGTTACTTTTCTTGTTAATTACCGGCAACCTCCGCTACCGTTTCTCTAACATTCTCAATGGTTGCAGTGGCAATGCAGTCTCTGTGCTTCTCTCAATGCTTGGTCCCGTCCAGTTACCGGCTGTCTCCGGTTCCGGGCCCCCGCATTTCTAGCTTAAGCTTCCCCAGATGTTCCGTTCCGCCACGTGTTCGTACCATCAAGTGCATTTCTCTCTCCAGCAGCCCCTCATTAGGTAACAAATCCACTGTTTGGCTGACGAGAAAAGAGAAGAAAATTTCTGAAACTCTTTTCCAATAAATCCAAAAGCGTTTGATAATGTATTTGAAAAACATGTTTTCTAATTGCAAATTCATTCTCTTCTAATCTGTTATACGACATATATATATATATATATTTTTTATATTCTGAAATTAAAGTCCGAGATTTATTCTCGGAGTTTGAAAATGCAAAACAGTTCTGGAGAAACAATTTTCCTAAAACGACGCCGTAGTCATCATAAAAGTTGGTCTTTCTTTCGTTTGCTAGTGAGTTTTGAGCTACGACGTGGAAGTTTTTGGATTCTGAGACCGTGCTATTTGTGTTTTGTTTGTTTTAGTAAATGATACAACGAGATTTGCTGAAGCTTCTAAAAATGGAAATTTAGTTCCATTGTACCGTTGCATATTTTCGGACCAGTTGACTCCAGTGCTGGCTTATCGTTGTCTGGTTAAAGAAGATGATAGAGAAGCTCCGAGCTTTCTTTTTGAGACGGTGGAGCCGGGCTCTCGGGGTTCCACTGTTGTAAGAGCCTGTTTATTTGGTGTAATATTCGTAGTTGTTTGTTTTTATTGTGCATTTGTTCATTTGAAGTTGAATTGTTTGTTTCAGGGGCGGTATAGCGTGGTTGGAGCTCAGCCAGTTATGGAAATTGTGGCCAAAGAAAATAAGGTTACGATAGTGGACCATGTGGCAGGGAGTGTGGTTGAGGAGGTTGTTGGGGATCCGATGGTTATTCCGAGAAGAATCTCGGAGAGGTGGAAGCCTCAACTTATTGATGAACTTCCTGATGCTTTTTGCGGTAGAGAATTCATATCGTTGCTTAATTTTGCTGAGATTGAAATGCTTGTATTGTTCATTGCCTTGTAAAAATCTTTGAACTCATACTTTGGATGTACTGGTTTTGTCATTAGGGGGTTGGGTCGGGTATTTCTCATACGATACAGTTCGCTATGTGGAGAACAAAAAGTTGCCATTCTCAAAGGCACCGGAGGATGACAGAAACCTTGCTGACATGCATCTAGGCCTCTATGATGATGTGATTGTGTTTGATCATGTGGAGAAGGTACTCTTTTTTCTGTTAATAAAAAAATGCCTAAAACATTCCGGGTCTTTGTTTATTTTGCTTGCACAATCTATTTTTTGATAAAAGTGCACTTTTGGTTGGTAGTTTTACTTGGCCATGATTGAGACACCTTTAATTCTGTAAGGAAAACTTAGCACAAGGTTGGAATGGTTTAAGTGTGTTTATGTTTTTCTTCATGTTTGCTTCCTTTAAAAGACTGCTGAGAATATTATAAATTTGTGCCAATTTTGGTTTCATTAGAAGGTCACTGCTTATGGGGGTAGTTGATGCATTTTATTAGAGATTTTTTTCCTTTATTTCTTTCTCAGAAAGCCTATGTAATTCACTGGGTGAGGCTGGATCAGCACTCTTCAGTTGAGAAAGCATATATGGAGGGAGTTGAACACTTGGAAAAATTAGTCGCCAGAGTACAACACACAGACCCGTGAGTTACATTTTACACATTTTATATGGTCACATGAGTTTTTATGAAACTTATTAATTTATTTGATTATCATTTGTTAGGCCAAGGCTGTCCCCAGGTTCTGTAGATTTACACACTAGTCATTTTGGTCCTAATTTAAAAGAGTCAAACATGACAAATGAAGCGTACAGGAAGGCTGTACTTGACGCAAAAGAACATATTCAGGCTGGGGATATTTTCCAGATCGTACTAAGTCAACGATTTGAGCGGCGAACATTTGCTGATCCATTTGAAGTGTATAGAGCATTGAGAATTGTGAATCCAAGCCCTTATATGACCTACTTACAAGTACACATTTTTGTCTCACAAACTATTTTAGTTTTTATAGTTTGTTGCATTTTTATCATATTCATTTCATGTTTTCAGGCTAGAGGGTGTATTCTGGTAGGTTCAAGCCCCGAAATTCTAACTCGAGTAAAGAAGGTAAACCGTTATAGTTGTCAATTTCACCTACTTGGATTTTCAGAACAAAGCATGAGATGGTTTTCTTTATGCATTTACTCTAAAATTCAACATCAAATTCTTAAGTTTGGTGGCTATTTACTTTCAACCATTTATCAGCAGCGATGCTTATTTTTACATGTTTATACAGAACAAGATTGTGAATCGACCATTGGCTGGGACAGTTCGAAGAGGGAAGAGTACTGTTGAAGATGAAATGTTGAAAACGCTGTTGCTAAGTAATGAAAAGCAATGTGCAGAGCACATTATGCTAGTTGATTTGGGTCGCAATGATGTTGGAAAGGTTTTTCTCTAATGATTTTTTCTAATGTATTTATAATCTTCATGTTTTAAAAGTTTTTATGCTTATAGTTAACTCATCTATCTATCATAGATGGCTGGATTAACTAAACCACTTCACATCGTTGCCATTTTCTTATTGTGTAGTGTTTGTTTACTTACCATTTTTTGTTCCTAGAATTCACTGTAGGCAAGTAGCATGACATGTGTGACCATGTAAATTCTTTCTCACATTTGTCATTATTAGTGGCTAGCATGAATTTGACCATAGACTTCACCATTTTAGTCGTCATATTAGTATTTGGTATTATATCTTTTTTATAACAACTTAATATGCTTTAGATTCTTCACTATTTGACTAGTTGTTAGCTAGATATCCCGTTTTTATGTTGTATATTTTAAAGAATTTTAAGTTCTTCACATGATCTTTAGCTCTTTCTGTATAGAAGTCAAGATATTAATGGGATCCTTGTGGTAATCTGTGGAAGACACACTAGTATACAGAGCTTTGGTCCCTTTTCTGGTCTCAAGCTCTTGGTAGCTTTCTTGTTTCTTTCAAGATCGTGCATCTGATTCCCTTCTGCATGAGAATATGTTTCGTTTTTTATTGGAGTGTGTTGTGAATAAAAAGGAAAAAGTTGTTTTTGATCATATAATTTCTTCCGCCTTTTAACGAAGGGGCATAGTTTTTCTGTCTGCAACATTGGTGCAGCACGCAAGCTGCAATCAAACTAAAGCACAAATCAGACTAAAGCTTCTCTTAATAACCCTTAATATTGATGCAGGTTGCAGAATCTGGTTCTGTGAAGGTGGAAAAGCTTATGGACGTTGAAAGTTATTCTCATGTAATGCACATAAGCTCCACGGTAACAATCCAAGCTTGGAATCTTTAATGTATAAGTGATGAACTGAATTTGATAATCTAATGTTTCTCAAATCTTTAGAGGCCATTCCCATTCTTCTTTATGCAGGTTACAGGTGAGTTGAAAGATGATCTCACCTGCTGGGATGCCCTAAGAGCTGCACTGCCTGTTGGAACAGTTAGTGGAGCACCAAAGGTTGGGACTACGCACATTTCACCCTTATCAATCACTTGCTTGCTTTTCTTATACATCTCTTTCCTTTTGTTTTGATCATCAATGAATCATAATGTGCAATATGATACAGGTTAAGGCCATGGAGTTAATCGATGAGTTGGAAGTAAATAGGCGTGGTCCCTACAGTGGTGGGTTCGGAGGTGTTTCCTTTACAGGCGATATGGACATTGCGTTGGCGCTAAGGACTATGGTATTCCAAACTGGAACCCGTTATGATACAATGTACTCGTACAAGGACACCAACATGCGCCGGGAATGGGTTGCATATCTTCAAGCTGGTGCAGGTGTTGTCGCTGACAGCGACCCTGATGATGAGCACCGTGAGTGTCAGAACAAGGCTGCTGCGCTAGCCCGAGCCATCGACTTGGCTGAGTCTGCCTTCGTTAACAAATGATGTCAATAACAGAATAAAATTTTGGGAATCAACTCAACTTGGATTTTGCTGCAGAGAATTAAAAAAAAAAAAAAAAAAAAAATACATGTAAAAACATCATACTGATGTAACTAAATGTACTTGTAACTGCATTAACCGAAAGAGAAATGAGAAATCCGTAGATGATGCATATACGACGGCGTTTCTTTGTTAGTGTTTAATCAGTATCATCGTCTTAACGGAGTCTATAGCTGTTCTCTCTCTCTCAGACGGAATCATGGCTTCACTGGTTGAACGAGTCCTTCCTATGCTCTCTCAGTCCGTTACTATTTCATCGAAATTATCTTCTTTCCAAACTTCCGTAGGTTCACGTTCGGTCCAGAATCCTCCTTCCTAAGTCTCGTTCCCTACTTTCTCTCTGCCGCCTCCATTAAGTAATCTGCTTTTTCTAAAAGTATAAAGGATTAGTAGTAAATTGAATGGTTTTTTGTTGTAATAGGCGAGGCCAAGAGACAAGGAGAAGGGGACGGGTCCGCTGAGGCCTCCCAAGCCTTCGTCTCCTTCGAAGAAAGATCGGTTTGATGATGATGATTGTTGTAAGCTTTTAACTATGTTTATTAGAGAGATTAATTTCTTATCAGATTTTGTTCTCTTTTTGGTACTGCATAGACTCTTTAATAAATCAGTAGTAATTTGTATTGTAAGATTAGACTATGGTTTATTAATCATAGTTTCGTAGTTTTCTATCAAAAGGATACCAAGTTTTATATTCTAATAATTCTATAGGTTAAGATACTGCATATACTTTTTGGTGGTTTGAACTCTTTTGAAGCCAGGATCATAATTTATTTTCCAGCTTGGACTACAAATTCAATTATTTTTAAGGCTCTAGTTTTTGAGTTCATGACAAGTGGAAGTCTATAAAGCTGGTTGCATACAGCTGAAGAATCTGAGTTGAGAAAACTGTACGTCATTTAAAGGTTAGATATTGCGATTCATATGGTTTATGCATTGGATTATGTTCATCACCAATTGTGAGATTCCCATTGTTTCTTGTTGATGATTACATGGTTGCTCATGTAGGCAGCTCTGGGTTGGCTGAGCTCCTTTCTGGGGGAGGGCTTCAGTCAACTTCAGTGTAGATCATACTCACTCAGTCAAGTAAAGCTCCTTTCCAATTCTCCATCATGATGTTTGATTATATGAACAATGAGCCATCCTATTGCGTATAAGGTGTGGAGAAATAATGGTTGAATAGGAATTTTTATTTCATCAAATGTAGGTTTTCAATCATATCTAGCAATAAACAGATGTATCTGGGCAAGCCGCCTCAAAGTTTGACCACAGCATTTCATTTTTCATACATCGCATACTAGAAGTCTGCTATGTGAGAATTGACTAATGCCAAGTACATTAGACTGTGGAATGTTTATGATTACCATACTTCAGATTATTCATTCAATTATTTCTGGTAAAAGTAAACCATAAACACCAACCAGATTAGAATGTGGAATGTTTGATTGTTTGTGTCAACCATACTTTACATTATTGATTCATTTATTTCTGATAATAATATGTCCTTTTAGCATCGTTTGTTCACTATTTCAGAGGGAGATTCAATTATGTCTCAGATGAAATGGAAAGATAAAAAAAATTATCTTAAGAAAAGGAAACTAATATTATTCTTTCACAACATAATGAGAATGATGTCAAAATTAGAATATGGAGATTCGAAAAATAATAAATGGCAACCATGAACCATATTCAAATACAATTGTAGTTGAGAATTTGCTAATGGAATTAATATATAATATCTGTCAAGATATTGTTGAAATTATCTTTGTCGAATCGAGGATTTCGTCATTGAAAAGGAATTAGCAAAAAAGAAATTGGAGTACCGCTTGAATTATAGGTCTGATTGGTATTCTTAGTGAATTTATGAGTTCGAATCAATAGGAATACGCTCTGAGTCCCACTATTTGATAGGTGGATGCATAATATGCCCTCCGAACATGCTATTTTATCAATTATTAATCCATTGATGTATACTTAAAAGTTAAAGCCTTAAATCGATCTTTTTTAGAGATGAATCATAACCGATAATAGAAGTAACGTCGAACACACGAAACTGACGTGTAGAAGAAAGTCTTTTCAGGCAGCTTGAGTCAGTTTATAGTTTAGCTAAAATACACCTGTCAATTTCATGTTACTGGTTACCGTAGAATAGTTGCCATCTTTACTGGAGTGGAAAAATCCATGGACTTGACTGGTGTGTGGTCAAGTTTTGGTGAAACCCCACTAGGCTTACCGGAGTCAAGATGCATGCAAGTCAAGCAATTTGTGGAGTCAAGATGACTGCAAGTCAAGCATTTTGAAGAAAACGGAGACTAATATTATACTTTCACAACATAATGAGATTGAGGTCAAAACTAGAAGATGGAGATTCGAAAAATAGTAAATGGCAACCATATTTGACCTGTCGAGTGCAATACCAGTGGAGGTATTAAGTGCTTTATAATATGAGAGAGTCTAAAATAATGTTCAACTATAAAGCTGGCGAAGTTCTGCTTAACTTGACAATAAACTCAGCTTTACGATAAGCTTAATGTTTTCCTCCCGTCTTATCAGAAATTCTATTAACATGATCTTGCTGCTTTGCTTATCAGCTTTCCTTTGTACTGCAAGTAATGCAGCTACTATATGCAGTAATGAAACAGACAAGATTTCTTTGCTTGCATTCAAGGATTTGATCACTGAGGATCCCCTTGGAATGCTGATCTCATGGAACAATTCTATCCATTTCTGTGAGTGGCAGGGAGTAAAATGCAGTAGCCGGCACCAAAGAGTTGTGGAGTTGGACTTGAGGTCTCAGGGATTGACGGGCTCGATTTCGCCCTTCATTGGCAATTTGACCTTCCTCAGGTCTATTTACCTTCAACATAATCAAATCCGAGGAAGTATCCCGCAAGAACTCGGTGGTCTGTTTCGCTTGCAGAATCTGAATTTCACTAATAATACTCTCCAGGGGCAGATTCCAAGCAATTTGTCACGCTGTCTGGAGCTCAGAGAAATTGAATTGAATTTCAATGACCTTGTTGGGAAAATTCCAGCAACATTTGGTTCTCTAACCAAGCTCACTTCTCTATCTTTATTCTCCAACAATCTCCATGGAACCATCCCTCCATCTCTTGGTAACCTAACCTTCCTCCAAACACTTTCTCTAGGAACAAACAACCTTGAAGGAACTATTCCAGATTCTATTGGCCATCTCACCAATCTCCTGTATTTTGGTATTGGTTTGAATAATATCTCTGGTGTAGTCCCTCCTTCCCTCTACAACATTTCATCTCTCACAGATTTAGTTATTCCAGACAACCAGTTAACAGGTAGTCTGCCCTCAGACATAGGCCTTACACTCCCTAACCTCCGATTTATTTCTGTTGGAGGAAACCTATTTACTGGATGTTTTCCGATTTCTTTCTCCAATGCATCTGGAATGATACTTCTTGACTTGTCCGACTCTCAACTTTCAGGGCCGGTTCCTTCAGATCTTGGAAGAAAAATGAAAAATCTTCGGTGGCTGAATTTGGGATCTAATAGTTTTGGCACTGGGGGTACTGATGACCTTAGCTTTCTTGATTCTTTAACCAATTGCACCAATTTGCAAATATTGGGATTAGACGAAAACGGTTTTGGTGGTGTTTTACCAACTTCGTTTTACAATCTCTCAACTAAACTTAGATTACTGGATGCTGGAGGTAATCAGTTTGTTGGAAACATCCTAGATGGTATATCAAACTATGTCAACTTAATTGATCTTTCCTTAGAGCAAAACCTTCTCTCAGGTTCTCTTCCTTTCAGTATAGGGAAGCTTCAAAACCTGCAACATTTTACTTTCAGCGGAAATAGACTGTCTAGTTCAATCCCGGAATCATTTGGCAAACTCACCCAACTCTTCCACCTGAATTTGGCTCAGAACAATCTGACAGGAAGCATCCCACAAGGCTTTCAGAACCTTCAAAGGTTGCAAATCCTAAATCTTTCTCATAACAACCTTGATGGTTCTATACCTATGACAATTGGCCTTATCTCCACCTTATTTTTCATCAACTTTGCTCATAACACGTTCAGAGGTTCCCTACCGGCGGAGCTTGGTAACTTGAATAATCTACAGGACCTGGACTTTTCTGAGAACAAGTTGTCTGGCGAAATTCCAAGCACGCTTGGAAATTGTTTGAGATTGGAACACCTTATTCTACGCGGTAACTTGTTGCAGGGGAGCATTCCTTCCTCTTTTGGCTCCCTGAAAGGACTTGTAGGTTTGGATCTTTCTCGAAACGAATTGTCTGGAACGATTCCGATCAATCTGGAGACACTAACCACTCTTGAAAATTTGAACTTGTCCTTTAATAGCTTAGAGGGTGAGGTGCCATCCAAAGGTGCTTTTACCAACACAAGTGTGATTTCAGTTGTTGGAAATAGAAAGCTCTGTGGTGGCCTTCCTAAATTGCACTTACCGATCTGTGCCATTCAAGAGTCGAAGAAGAAGAATCATCTTAAAGCTAAAGTTATTATAATGTTAGTCAGTGTGGGTTTTTGTTTGATACTGCTAATAGTTTTGCTTGCTTTTTGTTGGAAAAGAAGACCGAGAAGATTGTCCTCCCAATCATCCCTTGGAGAGGAATTTTTGAGGGTATCTTATAACGAACTTCTCAAAGCTACCGATGGATTTTCTTCGACAAACTTGATTGGCATTGGAAGTTTTGGTTCTGTGTACAAAGGAAAGCTCTAGCAGGATGAAAAACCTTTAGCAGTGAAGGTATTCAATCTTGAACAGCTAGGAGCTTCCAAGAGCTTTATTGCAGAATGTGAAGCTCTACGGAGGACCAGGCACCGGAATCTTCTCAAGATAATCACTGCTTGTTCCAGCATAAATTTTGAAGGTAATGATTTTAAAGCTCTTGTCTTCGAGTTCATGCCCAATGGAAGCTTAGAAAGTTGGTTGCATCCAAGTGAAGATACGAGAAAGTTAAACCTCGCTCAAAGGCTTAACATAGCAGTAGACGTTGTTACTGCACTGGAGTATCTTCATCATTTCTGTGAAACACCAATTGTTCATTGTGATTTGAAGCCAAGCAATGTTCTTCTTGATGAGGATATGACTGCTCATGTGGGAGATTTTGGGTTGGCCAGGTTACTTCCTATGAATATCAGCAATCCAATTAAAGGGCAGACCAATTCAACTGGACTCAGAGGCTCTATAGGATACGTTGCACTAGGTATAATCAATTCATTCACATTTTTTTGTTCATATTATTTACTTCCAAATATATAAATAAAACTTACGCACCGGTCTAATAATGAAATGTAATGTATAGAATATGGAATGGGTGGATTAGCATCAGCACAAGGAGATGTCTACAGTTTTGGAATTTTTCTTCTAGAGATAGTCACAGGGAGGAGACCAACAGATGAAATGTTTAAAGATGGCCTAAGCCTTCATAGTTTTTGTAAGGCGGCATTGCCTGACCGAGTGATGGAGATTGTTGATATGCGACTGCTACTAGAAGAAGAACCTGGTGAAACTATTATTGATATTGACAATGAAAGACGCATCAAAGCTAAAAGAAAGGAATGCTTGATTTCGCTTGTAAGGATTGGAGTTGCTTGTTCAACAGAAACACCGAGTGAACGGATTGGAATTAGTGATATAGTAATGGAGATGAATATAACTAAGGAAGTGTATCTTGGAGTAGGCATTCATGGCGAGAGACGTATAAGAATGCAACTGGCTGGTGAAGTGACATCTCAGCTGAATAATTTTTAAAATTCTGTAGCATTATTTACACATAAATACGTAAAATGATCTAATATAAAGGATTTACTGTTGTTTATCTATATTTTTGCGTGTTTTCAGAGGAATTGAAACAGGATTCTTTGTATGAACCTAGGCTGTGTTGGAATACGGATATGTATTGATTCCCTTGACACTGTTGTCACTTATTATGTTATAGCTTGGTAGTGTAAAGTTGTTAAATCTTACAGAATTTTGAAGGAGAACAAAAAATTCGGAAACATAAAAAAGTTCCTACATTATTGTTTCTAAATATGTTCAAATCCAATGCCAAATATGTGATATAAGCATAAATGATAACTGGAATCCTGTTAAAGATTAGAATCAAGAACTTCTTATGGAATAAACAAAGCGCCTTGGTTCTCTTAGAAACTGATCCAGATTCATGACAGTAGAAATGTAGGATACGAGAATAAGTCACAAAATTTCAGTAACTTTTAAGAAATTTTTCTGGAATAAATAAAGCGCCATGGTTCTCTCAGAAACTGGTCCACATTTACAACAGTAGAAATGTAAGATTTGACAATAAGTCAACTTTACGGAGCAAAACGTCTATGTTCCTGAAAGAAGGTTGTTAATCAGAACTCAAATCAAGTTGAGTCAGAACTGAAGAAGCAAAACCCCAAGACCAAGTTAAGAGTTCAACTTTTCATGGCGTCAAGTGTTAGGTGGCATATACGGAAGGCAGAAACATCTTCCTACATCCATTTCATCTAACAGACAGTTATAATTTTTTCCTTTGTGCCTTCCAATTCGGCCGTTACCATTGTATTTTGGAAGCTTGAGTCAGCTTATAGTTTAGCTAAACGACACCTATCCATTTCATGTTACTGGTTACGGTTGAACAATTGCCGGGTGCGTTTGTTTTATTATTTTGAGTAGTATTTTTGAAATATTATTGCTAAGATGAGTTGGGTTATTATTATGAGGTAAGATTTAAAAATTAACAAAAAAAAAAAAAAAAAAAACTTATAGGTTTGTTAATTTAGCTAAACATCCCCGATAATAAAAAGTTTATAAATTGAAAAAAACACTCCCATCCATCCACAATTGCCAGATTCCGACAACCACCGTCGAAATTTGGCCGAAAATTTGTGTCATTGCGCACGAAAGACCAGGTATGGCCGGTCGTGTGTTGCTATGGCCTTTTTTGGCTAGATCTACGACTGGATCTGGCCGTTGACGGCTAGATCTGGCCACATTTGGCCGTCAACGATAGCCGTAGATTAGGCCGTAGTTAATAGTCAATGACGACCATATATTAGCCGTTGTTGACAGCCAGATGTGGCCAAAGATTTGGCCATCAACGACCAGATCTTTGGCCGTGGATCTGACTGGAAAAAGTCATAACGGTGCACGACCGGTTAGATCTGACCGTCATGTACAATGACACCAGATTTCTATAGTGGTGGTCGGAATCTGACAACTGTGGGTAGATAAGGGTGTTTCTATTTTTTTTAGTTAAATTAATAAACTTACGGAGGTTTAAAATAATTGAATGTTATTAGATAGGATTTTGAGAGTAGAGGATTTTGAGAATAGAGAAACAAATATGCTTTTTGTTTTTTTTCTGGATAGAAAGAAGATATTTTCAAAATAAGAAAACAAACGTAGCCCGCATCTTTACTGTGGTGGAAAATTCCATGGACTTGACTGGTGTGTGGTCAAGTTTTGGTGAAAACCCCACTAGCCTAACTGGAGTCAAGGTGCATGCAAGTCAAGCAATTTGTCACTAGACTGTTTAGAATTGCGAGGCAGAACAACCCCAAATAACAAGTTATGAATTCAATATTTTTGCGCGTTTACGGAGGAATTGAAACCAGGATTCTTTGTATGAACCTAGGCTGCGCTGGAATAAATATATGGATTGATTTACTTGGCATTGTTGTCACTTATTAAGTTATAGCTTGGTAGTGCAAAGTTTTTAAATCTTGCAGAATTTTAAGGGAGAACAAAAAGCCAAATCGGAAACAGAAAATAAGTTCCTACATCGTTATTTTTCAGTATGCTCAAATACAATGCATAAATGATCAAGAACTTCTTGCGGAGTAAATAAGGCGCCATGAAAAACTGATCCACATTATCAACAGTACTAGAAATTTAAGATTTGATAATACGTAACAAAATTTCAGAACTTCTAAGAAAATCTTGTGGAATAAATAAAGCGCCATGGTTGATTCACGTTTACAGCAGTAGAAATTAGCAAAAATTTCAGAACATTAAGGAACAAAATGTTAAGTCTTGAAAGAAGGTTGTTCATGAGAAGGGAACTCAAGTTGAGTCAGAACTGAAGAGTTCAAATTTTCATGTCGTTAAGTGTTGAACAAGAATTTGATCACATATTTTGTTAATTATTTTTATTATATTTATTACTCTAAAATATATTTTGTTAATTATTTAATTTAATTATATTTTATTTTTGTCCAATTTGAGGAGAAAGTATGCTTTATTTGGACTAGCTTAACTGAAGATTCAAGTGAAGATGGAGCCCAAGAGGAATTTAGGAGGAGCATGTGAGAAGAATAAATTATAGAGACCAAAGGAAGATTCGCCCTACAATTTCAAATTCTTGCATGGGAAGGAGGGAAGTATGGGAATGTAGATTTGCATTTAACACGTGGGCCTATGTGTTTATTAAAATTACTTTTCTAAACCAACTCCTATTAGAATTTCTGTTTTGTAAAGGATTAGGGTTTTATCTTACCCTTACGTGTATATAAAGCCTACTTTTCACTCAAGTTAGGGAAAGAGAAAAAAAATAACACAAGAGTTGGAGTAGAGCAAATTGGCGTGTATATAAATCTAGTATTAGTTAAGTTTGATACTTAATGAGCTAGACAGTCCTCGTTATATTCGTACATTTCCAAATTTTCACAAGAAGTTATAGTAGTAACATCTGAGGGTGTGTTTGTTTTATTATTTTGGATAGTATTTTTGAAAAGTTAGAGTTGGGTGATTATTATGAGATATAATTTAAAAATTATAAAAACACCCCCTAGGTTAGTTAATTTATTAAACATCCTTACAATAAAACATTGAAAATTAACAAAAACACTCCTACCCAGTAATTAAATACTGGAAGGTGGCTATCACCGTTGGAGGATGGTCGGTTATCACCGTAATGACACACAATCGGCTGGATCTAGTTGATCGTGTGTCGACATGGCTTGTCCGGTGGATCTAACTGAAAAATGTCAGATCTACGGTTAGATCTGGCCACGTCTGGTCGTCTACGATGGCCAAAGATATGGCCATTGTTGACGACTAGCTACTAACGGCCAGATCTTTGGCCATAGATCTAATCCTTTTCAGCCAAATTCACATTGGATCTAGTTGGAAAAAGCTAGATCGGCATACTATTAGCCAGATCTAGCTGGTAGTGTATCATTACGTCAGATTCTGGCCATCTTCTGACAATGGTGGTCGGAATCTGGTAAATGTGGGTGGATGGAGGTGTTTTTATCAATTTTTAAACTTTTTTCTTTTGGAGTTGTTTAGTTAAATTAACAAACCTAAGAGATTTAAAATAGTTGAATAAAATAGAAATGAATTTTTAGATAGGAGAAACATATATGTATTTTGGGTAGGATATGGTACAAATAATGAAACAAACACACGCTGAAAGTCTTATTCATTTCTATGGACAGCTGGGTCTTACTCATGCGTTGGAGCCACCCAAAACAGTATCCCTTGTAATCCACTCAACAGCATAGATAAGTGATTTAGTCATTTGGTCTGGATTGACTTATTTTAGCCCAGAGGAGACGTAGCACGTAGAGCACACGAAATTTCCTTTCACAGTTTTAGAGAAATTAAGTCTTCTCAGGCTGCTGGAGTCAGCTTGTAGTTTAGCTAAACTAGACCTGTCCATTTCTTGGCACCGGTTAAGGCAGGACGACCAATATCATCTTTACTCTGGAAAAATCCATGGACTCTGACTGGTGTGGTTAACTTAGTTCATGAAACCCACTAGCCTTACTGGAGTCAAAATGCATGCATGCATGCAAGTCAAGCGATTTGCAGAAAATTACAAATGAATTAGTGGTGCCATTCTTGGTGCACATGCAAGAAAACAGCTAAAGGAAAGCGATTTAGGTACTCCTTCGGAAACGTAAGTTCATTTTTTTTTTTTTTTCCAAATTTTTTCAAAGGATTAGCCATTTTTTTCCTACGATTTTTTGTTTCAATAGACGAGGCTACCTATGCCTTCTTCTCATTTGAAGAACGATCGGTTTGGATGACAGAATGGCATGCCTGTTTAATAATATCTTCCCACCCATTTATTTATCTTTTTCTTTTATCTAATTGCTACCTTGATTGACTAATTTTCAAGATAAATGAAAAGACACTGCCAATTTATTTGTTATGCCTAAAAAATCATACTGATGCCAGCTCAACAAGTGCTTAAAAGATACAGTGTATTAACTGTCAAACCTATACCGTCTTAAAGATATTTTATATCAATCCCATCTTATTTTAAAATAAGGATGAATAAGAGCTCTTTATATGTTAAGATAACTTACAAAAACACTAATTACATTGATCTCATACATGTATAAATAGACATATCTCTTCGTGAAAAAAGGAAGGTTGGGCATATGAGAGCTAAACATAGATTTGAGCTTTATTATTTTTCTCTGTAAATAAAACATTTCTCCATTCTTTGTATGCCTTACCGGCAATATCATAGAAATAGCCAAGAAATAATGAAAAAGACAGTGGATGTATGATTAGCTTTAAGCATCCGAACCACTATAAAAATCTCTCTTGCCAATTTTTTATTTATGTTTTTGCAAACATATATAATCTCAACACTATAAACACTTCTCATGAATCATATCACGTGTAATTTCTAAGACTTTATTAGTACTTTGCAAGTGTAAATAGTTAGTATCAAAATCAAACATTAATATTATTGAAGGGCGTTTTTCTACATTCTTGACTTTTAAAATATGAACAGATTTTTATTTTAA